CACCAGCAGAGTATATTTAATATTTTCTAAAAATTAAAAATCTGAAAAAGCCACACATAAATATCCGCCTTTTAGTCAAACATTATGGGCAGTTTTTATTTTAATTTTTGATATTTTTTGTACTTTTCTTTCTTTTTTATTTCTGATTAAACCTGTTTTCCACCTAATATATGAGAAAAACATTCAGGCGGAGAGTAGGACAGCTGTAATCTCTGTCTTCTCAGTCCATCTCAGACCCCCTAGTGGCAACTCTTAAGAGTCTTAACTTTTCTTGAGAGTAAGAGTGATTCTTAGACAAGAATTTTGATAACTGACACTTACACTTAAGTCTGAGAGTAGGAGCAAATCTAAGAAATTTTCAGCACTTAAGTCAAAAAATCCACTCTAAGAAGTTTGATAAATACGGGCCCTAATTGTCAATTTGCAGGGTAAAAACTTGAGACATGTCATGGAACTTCTTTGGGCCAGTGGTGATTAAATCAGTCTTGTCAACGTTGATGAGCAGGAAATTATTAGATAACCAACCCCTAATTGCTGACAGACAGGCCCCCAATTTAGGCAAATTGACACAGTTTCCCACTGTGAAAGGCATGTACAGCTGTAGATCGTCAGCATTGCAGTGGAAAGTAACGTCAAATGAATGAAGGAGAAGACCGAGAGGCAAAAGATATAAAGAAAACTGCAGGGGCCCCAGCACAGACCCCKGAGGGACCCCATGCTTCACAGCGCAGGTAGCAGAGAGCTTATTTTTAAAAGAAACTGTCAGAGATCTACCAGTTAAATGTGATTTCAGCCATGAGAGTACATTTCCAGTGATTCCAATATCATGTTCAAGTCTATCCAATAAGATACAGTGATCAACAGTATCAAAGGCCGGAAGGATGATCATTGTCTGCATTGTCTGCATTTATCAATAAGTAACTCACCACTTTAAATAAAGCAGTTTCTGTAGAGTGGTTAGATCTAAAAGCAGATTGAAATGCCTTGAACAAATTGTTAGCAGACAGATAGCTGACAAGTTGCTGTGAGACAACTTTTTCAAAGATCTTGGATAAGAATGATAGTTGTGAGATGGGTCTGTAATTAGCAACAGAGTCAACATCAAGCCCAGGCTTTTTTAAGATGGGTACAACCATAGCAGATTTATTATTATTACATTAGAATGAAAATGCAACTTCAAAACCCTTCAAATACAAATATTTTAAATAGATCAGGACGATTCCCACCCATCTGATTTGATTCTTCTTGATGACGCTGCTCATTGACTCTGTCTTTCTCCTTTCAGACTCTGTGTCCACAGGCTCTGTGTTTGGCCGGAGCACCACCTTAAACATGCAGACCTCGCAGCTCAGCACCCCACAGGACACCTCCTGCACTCACATCCTGGTTTTTCCCACCTCTGCCTCTGTTCAGGTGGCCAGCTCTAATTACACCAACATCGACACCAACATCGACATCCTAAATGCCACCACTGGTCAGTGGTGTTTCCTCACATATCCTGCTGTCGTTCAGCTGTTGTTTTTGTGGCTAAAAGTCGGTGTAGCTCATTTGCAGGGCTCCAAACAAACTCATAAAAATTTTTGTCTTACAGTTGTCTTTATGTTATTAGTTAATATTTAAATAAAGGAACACATACAGGTGCTGGTCATAAAATTAGAATATCATGAAAAAGTAGATTTATTTCAGTAATTCCACTTAAAAAGTGAAACTTGTATAT